CAATGAACATGCAGTTTTGGTTGAGCATGGTGACCGCTCAAGTCCCTTCTCGATTCAGCGGACTGAGGAGCCTGAGGCGGTGCTCGGTTTGGCGGGAGAGAAAAAGCACGAGTCTGTGATGGTCTTTCCTCTGGCTCTGTTTCTTCCTCGTAGTAGTCTGATTCATCAAATTTGATCTCAGAAGTTGCACGAGGAAGGAAGTGATGGAGAGTTGTAGCTATGTCTCCTCCTCATTGTTGTTTCCTTTGCTTCGGTTTCGGTGTAGTCATCCTCAAGTGTTAATTCGTTGCTTTACAGTTGTTAGATCCTAAATTAAGTTGTGAACTTGTTTGTACTTTGAATGACATTGGTTTGTAAGACCATCCACATTGGAGACCAAATGTGGATGTCTTTAAATAAAAAAAATATTAAAAACACACTCTTTCTTTCTTTTACTCAACTTTATACCTTCTTTTTCATCATTTTACTCAATTTTTTATTAATTTTATATTTAAACACACTCCAACTTTCATCCATTCTCTCTCCAACTTTGTCTTCCCCTAGACATCCTCTCTCCAATAATACCCACTATCTCATCTCTTTACTCAAATTTTATTAATTTTATATTTCAATACACCCCATTATTTCAACCAAAAACACTCTCTTTCTTCCTTTTACTCAACTTTTAATAATTTTATATTTAAAGACACATACAAAATGTCTCCAATACAGATGCTCTAATCATCAACAACGTTATAAATAATATTATATCACCATTTTTGTTATCCTCTTCGATTAACGTTCAAACCCAAAAATAAATAAATCTCAGGGCTCGTTTTTATTAGTTGTACTCAAACTAATCATTTTTATTTAATTGTTCAGGACATGCATTACTCTGAAATTGTTTACGAGTACTAGTCTTACAAACTCTTTACCAACATACTAGTCATGATGATAGAAACTTTCAAAAGACATTGGTTCAACCGATGGAAACATTCTAAACTTTTTAGTTAGGGAATCTGGCAAAACGTAATAAACTATCGGTAAAACACCCAAAATATAACTAAAA